AAAAAAAAAAAAAAAAAAAAAAAAGGAAAAACGGGAAAAAAAATGAGACAGCAGGCAGGGAGGGGATGCAGGACCCCCCGAGCCTGATGCTTTGAGGGTCAGGGCTGCCCCCAGGGATGCTTCCCAGCCAGGGCGTTATCCCGGCCGGGCCGGCCAGCCTATTTTCCAGGCGAGGAAATATTTAACCGCAGCGTCAGCGAGCAGGGCAGGCGGGCGCAGGCATGGAGGGTGGCGGTCAGCACCCGGCCCCCGCTGCCCCCCCGGGCCAGCCCCAGGGCGAGCGCCTGCAGCTCCTGTTGCGTCGCAGCCGGGAGGCCAAAAACTGCGCCTATTGCCCCTACAGCCGCTTCCCGGTGGGCGCCGCGCTGCTCACCGCCGGCGGGGAGATCTTCTCGGGTAAGCTGGGGCCGTGTGACTCCCTCCTTGGGTTTTGGGGTCCCCCCCTGCAACCCTTTGGCCATGCGTTGGGGTGCAGAGGGTCAGCGTGGGGTGCTGGTCCCCGTCCTCCGCCCCCAGCTGCCTCTTGGCAGCCGCCATCCCAGAGCGAGCCAAAGATCGCTGCGGATGGGAAAATACGGGAAATAAATAGGGGAAGAGGGAAATACATCGGTGAGAGCCCTGGATGAGGCGGTGCATGCAGAAAATGGCTTTTCTTTGCAAATTCTCTAAAAATAAAACCACCTGGAAGGGAAGCTGGCAGGGTTCAGGGTGTCTGAGTGGGTGCCCGGGGCTTCCCCACAGGGTGCAACGTGGAGAATGCCTGCTACAGCCTGGGGGTGTGCGCCGAGCGCACTGCCATCCAGAAAGCCATCTCCGAGGGACACACCAGCTTCAGGGCCATGGCCATCACCAGGTAAGGGCACACCGAGAGCCAGCACAGCGAGGGACGGGCTGGGGGGCCAGTGGGAACCCCCCCCATGCACCCAAGGGGCAGCTTCTGCCACAGTAGCCTGAGCGTTTTGCGGGGGGAGGCAGGATTTTGTATGTTTTTTTGAGGAGTTGAGGGGAAAATCTGCTGTGGCTCTGTCATTATTGGTGCATGAAGGTCTTCTGCAGGTGTTCCCCCCGCTTCTGACCGCAAGACTGAGCTCTGTGCCCTTCTCCTTTGGCAGTGACTTGGGGGACAGCTTCATCGTGCCCTGCGGCGCCTGCAGACAAGTGATGAGAGAGGTGACGCCTTGCACGGGGCCCCGTGTCTCCTGACCCCAGGCATCATCCCCTGACCCCAGGCATCTCTCCTCAAAGCACCCAGAGGTGCAAAGGCGGGGTTTGCAGCCCCCCAGCGCCAGCTCCAGGCTCCCCAAATTGCACTATCTGCTGGGAAAGGGGTGTTCCTCCTTGTCCCACGAAAGCGGGTGCCCGGTGGTAATCCATTAACTTGCCCTCTCCAGGGGGTTTTATTCCTCCCGGGAGCTGCTGGGTGCAGAATTTGGCCCCAGAACCATCGCCCCAGCTCTGGCAAGCCTGAAAATGGGGTTTTACCTGCAAAAGCTGGGTTCCCTGCAGAGCCTGTCCCACTCTCACCTCCCTCCTCCCGTGGGCACCCCGGCACCTGCAGCCTGGTTTTGGGTGGTTAATATTTACCAGGTCTTGGAGCTCAGCTTGAAGGCCGGATTCGGCAGGTTTGGAGTCACCAGGGCTCACTCTGTGGGGGGGCAAAAATACAGGATCTGAGCCCAAAATACCCCCTGGGGGAGGTGATGCTGAAAAGCCACCCCAAAATACATTCTTCCTGCGAACTTGGTCAAAAAAAAAGGATTATTTGGGCAACTTGAGGAAGAAGTGCAGGTTTTGCATTAGGCTTCTCCCTCCTCTTCTCCTGCAGTTCGGCACGGACTGGGACATCTACCTGACCAAAGCAGATGGCACCTATATCATCAAGAGGCTGGAGGAGCTGCTGCCGCTCTCCTTCGGCCCCGAGGACCTGAAGAAGGTGTGAGCAGCACGGCCACTGCCGGCCGTTGCCCTTCAGAAGCAGGGGAGGATGATTTTCCCCAATTTCCCCAGTGTGTAAGTGGCTTTTTTTGGGATGATGCAATGGGAAATGCGTTTATAGTGTTAGGTTACCTGTTCCTCTCACTCATCTTCTGATTCAGCACTGATTTGCAGACACCAGTCCCATCTCAACCCAGGGAAACAGTGAAATCAAGTCGTAGAAATTCCCTTTTATTAGAAAAGAAGTGTCCAGATATTGCTATGGGCAAGGGAGGAGTTCACAGGTGGAGAAGAGTTTGATGAACAGGCTTGTTGGTACGGAAACCACTCCTGAACAATGCAAAATCATTGCTTGGGAAAATGCTGAATTCTTCAGCTCTAAATGAGAAGCAAAAGCAAAAAGGAAAGGCTCCATTGTTAATAAGCCAATTCAGATTAGCTGATTTGCTGGAACTGGACAGTTATCATGCTGAGTGTGTCCTTTGCTTGTTTCTCTCATGCGTGTTTTTCTTGCTTTTATTATGTTTGTGGAGATGAAGACAGAGAGGACTTTTGAGGGGCTTCTGGAGAGTTTTCTGTCTCCAGAGTAATGCCGTTTGCTGATTGTACTATTAATTTAACTATGCACAATGAAAAATGAATGCGTTACATTTCCCAACCAGCACTGGGCTGGGCATTACTGTGAAATAAAAGCAGCCCTGGTTTATCTCCTACAGTTGCAGCAAATGATGAATCACAGGGAACAAGAAGCGGGGCTGTCCCGCTGCCAGGCAGGGCAGGAGGACGCTGGGTCCACGGGCAGGACACGACCAGGACACTGCATGACCCAGGGCATGGTCAGGGCAGTGCTGCCTGTACCCTCCTGGCTGTGCCCCGCTCCGTGCCCTGCCATGCCCTTATCTGTGCCCTGCTCCATGCCCTGCTGTGCCCTTGTCTGTGCCCCGCTCCATGCCCTGCTGTGCCCTTGTCTGTGCCCCGCTCCATGCCCTGCCATGCCCTTATCTGTGCCCTGCTCCTTGCCCTGCCATGCCCAAGGCACCCGTGGCTATGCTCCAGGCCGTGCCCTGCATTGCACAGGGCTTGTTGTCCCTTGGCTGCACTCTGCTCCGTGCCCTGCTCTGCACCGGGCTGTGCCCAAACCCTGCCCAGGGCAGTGCCCCGCTGCTGGCCTGTCCCATGCCCCACTGTGCACTGGGCTGTGCCCTGGCTGGGCACAAGCCATGTGCTGACATGCACGGGACATGTTCTGCCACACACAAGCCATGTACTGACATGCACGGTACATGCTGGTGTACACAGGGCATGTTTTGCCACGCTCATGCCACGTTCTGCCGTGCCCAAGCCGTGCCCCGGGCAGACCCCTTCTCCCTGCCGTGCTGTGCACTCGGCTGTGTCCCGGCTGTGCCACCCAGTGCCCCGCTCTCTGCCCCGGTCTCTCCCCGCTCTCCCCCCGGTCTCTCCCCGCTCCCTCCCCGGTCTCTCCTCGCTCTCCCCCCGCTCTCTGCCCGCTCTCCCCCTGGTCTCCCCCCGCTCCCTCCCCG